ACTAAACTCAATTTTAAGAAGTGTACCTATTATTTTCATCATGAGTGTATATGTATATATTTTAAATATACGTATATGTACATATACAAAATTGTTTTTGAAATGTCCGTATATAGCGCGCGTATATCGAGTCAATCACTAAAACGCGATAACTCATTCCGATATTTTATCGATAAAAACCTTATCGAAGAACAGTTATAAAATAATATCCCCCACATCTTTAAAGCATAAAAAAAAGTTCATAATGATAAGAATATTAGCTTGAAGGGTTCAGGGTATATCCTAGTCGAGCAGTCTCGACTAGAGCCTTCATACTTGTTTACTAGTATAAAAATAGAGACTTGTGCTTTAGCAATTTTATTTTTATAATCACGCTCGTAATGATAGCACATCCACAAGAAAAGGTTTTAAACAAATAAGATCCCGTAGTAAGCCAACACTACAGCCAATGCGTGAATATGCTTGCATACCTACATATGTGTTTCTTGTATAAGCAGAAAGACGCGAAGAATTATTGTGAAATATCAATTCCTCGAAGGGTTCAGGAGATCTCCGGGATAGTCGAGTCGAGCAGTCGCGACTAGAGCTTTCTTACTTGTTACTATCGTTTTTACTGTCTCTCTTTTGTTTTTTCGTGGGAAACGGAAATTTTAAAAAGCTGTCGACAATTGTCGACTCTAGTTTCTCTTTCTGCGTGTTTTTAGCTGTGCCTAGGCAAATTAGAGCCTGCGGCACTTTGCCACATCTTCGGCAGCTTCAGCGTTACATCCAGCCCCGTATCCAGCGTTGTTAAAAAGAAATGGACTCGATGAAGCTTTCAACAATGTATAATTAATAGATGGCCTACTTCAATCAGGTTAAAGTATCTATGAGTCGCTCGTTTTCTCATTTGTTGTGCTTCCCCATTGGGATTTGGCGAACAATTTCTAATTAGACAATTTGTGATGATACGTTGCGATGTGACGCGACGAGTCGTTTTAAAGTTGTTGTTAGGCTTTTAATAAGAAAATACCAATTAAAACATACAAATTGATGATAATGTATATCTCTGAGGTAACAGAGTGCCGATGTTCCTTCAGGCAACAATTTTGTCCTACTTAATTTGCAAACAGACTGTGGAACTTCAGATAGAGAAGACGACGTCATTCTATGGAAAGTAGGAGTGCGAGAGACAGAGTAATAGAGTGTGTCAGAGAAAGAAAGAGAGAGATAGCGTGATAGAGAGAGAGAGAGAGCGCGAAAGAAAGATGAGAGGTAGAAGTGAGACAGGAGATGAGATAATGAAATGAAAACGATAAAAAAGGGGGAAAACAGGGTAAGATAAGAGGGGCATATACTGATAGGCAAAAAAGCAGATTAGTAATCGTAATCCTCCTAAAACGAAGCTCTTCATAAATTATAATAAAACGTATTTATATATATATATAGTGTGTAGTTTATAGGATACATACATATATATTCACAGCTTAACTTGAAAGCCCATCCACAATAGTCGTTAAGAGATCGACTTTTCTATGTCTCTTTTGATTCGACTTTGGCTAAGTAAGACAAACATATCAATTAAATGGTCAAATGCAATTTAAACGATTTTTGTAACCCACAAGTGAAAATTTGTGCACATGTATGTACATACATATATGAGTGTAAGTGTGTGAGTGTGGGTAGCTAAATACTTATATTAGTGTTTATGTGTGTGTGTGCGTGTACCTTACACAAAACTTGAGCCCAGCCATCGCAAAATGATTGAAATGATTGTTGTTATTTTTCAAGGCAACAAAACGCGATGACTTCATCTGCTTTGACCATTTTCTTGTTTTCAGTTCAAATCGACATAATATGTACATATATATGCATGTGTGTTGCTCGAATTTGTGTATATGTATATGTACTGTCTATGATTGTCTGTGTGTGTGAGTGCTTTGGTGCGTTTGTGCTACACACTCCCATGAAAAAGAAAACGTTGGCGTTGGCGTTGGCGTTGGCCATTGTCATGTGTGTGGCTCTTGCAGCTGTTCGAGTTATAATCACACAGGCCAACAGACAAACAATCTGAAAGCTGCCTCTACGCAAAAGCGCTTTGTTTGGCTAGAAGTTACCCTGTTTATATACATACGTACATATATTGTAGAACGCTACATTATTGGCTTATTTAATAATGATGACGCTCGTTGTAAATGGCTAAAATTAGTTTACACTTCAATTGGGGAACTTTTCCTTAGGAACTTTCTTACCTTCTTTAAGTTTCTATTGTATTGTATTTACTGTCTTAGATCGTATAGAATCTTTTGTAAGGATAAATTTACTAGTCTTGCTTAAAGATAAACTATAGATTAAATAATAAATGTATGGGCCAATTTGATATGGGAAAAAATTAAGGATATATTTATTCAGCTCATATATTCATATGTATGTAAATATAAGTCAGGTTGTGATGTATTCCACTTAATATATACTGTTCCCTTCACTTCTTTTCTTCTGAATTTCTTCTGTTCTTGTCTCTTGCGTCTTCTTTCTTCTGTCTTTTCATCTTCTGTTATACCTGTTCTATAACATTTCTTACCTTTTATTCTATATACATATGATACCATTCTGCGCTATATTCTAATATTTCATTTTCTCCTCTCTTCTATATTCTCTTCAATAACTTATGCAATCCTCTTCTCTTCTTATATCTTATATTCCTTTTTTAATTCGGTATGTAGCATAACTTAAAGCAGAGTTTGCTATGCCTATTTGTAGTTTGCACATGGTATATAATAACATAATATGCCAAGTGTTGAGTAATCAACAATTAATACTTTTGTTGTTGCTGCTCTTTGTGGTAGTTCGCCTTTGGTCTGACCGCTTTTAGAAAAAACCAGAATATGACCAACAACTTTGTCACAAATTGATTATTCAAAACTTCCTCAAGCTCGTCCGTCTCACGCCCTCTTTCTCTCTCTCTCTCTCTAACTCTGTCTGGCGTCTTTGTGGCTATTGGTTACATGTAGTGGGATATTTGCATGTAAATACCGGAAATGTTCATTTGTCCATTTAGCCAGCTCTTGACAATAGGCGCCGCGCCATTACTCGGACTGCTTTCGGCTTCGCTCTTATGAATTGACCCGCTTAATTTGGGTCAAACGCACAACCTGTTTTTATACCCTGAACCCATTGAAAATGGGAAATCAGGGTATAATGGTTTTGTAGAAAGTATGTAACGGGCAAAAGGAATCATCGCAGACCCCATAAAGTATATATATTCTTGATCACGACGACGACGAGAGTCTATATAGCCCTGTCCGTCCGTCTGTATCAATGCGCCGGTCTTAGACGATATAAGAGCTAGAAAGTTGAAATTTGGCATGCATACTCGTGTATACCATACGCATTACGAGTTTGCCTAATTTTTTTCGATAAATCATCCGATATGTTTTTGATCGAGAATAATCGAAAAATTTATTTTGTTTTTTTTTTCGCCTCATTTGAACACTTTTAGACCTGGAGACTTCAGATATACTGTGTATATACATATAATGAATACAAACATTTTGTAATTTACAGATTTTGGATACCACGCCCCTTTCGCCCCATATTTATAAAAAAAAAAACCATTTCATGTACTAGAGACTTGTGCTTTGGAATGTACATACATTTGAACATTATGATAACGTTCTAAAAGTTTCATTAAGATTGTACGTCTAGAAATTAAATTATTCAACATAGCAGTATACAAACATTTCGAGCAGTCTCGACTAGAGCCTTCTTACTTGTTTAAAATTGTTTTTAAGTCGGCTGGAGTTGAGGGAATGAAAACATTTGCAGGATACTGAAAAAAAATTTGTATCTATGCCAAAAAATGCTCTTACATCTTCTGAGATCGATGCACTCATACGGACGGACGGACGGATAGACGGACAGGAATTTATCACTCAGCTCGTCGTCCTGATCAGGAATATATATACTGGTGGAGACTTGAAAATTTGTTTTTTTGTTGTATATCACGCGAATATCGAGTTTTCCTGCAAAAATATAGCTACTCTCGATATTTTATTAAAGCCAGTTATTTAATTATATGTTCTACAGCTTTAGAGCTAGAGCTTCTAAATTTTAAATGTAGATATGTGTATGCATTTTATACAATTTCGACATTTGCCCACATTGCGGTCAATGCGTGGTTATGCTTGCATCCCTATGATTTTCTGTGTGTGTTTCTTGTGTAAGCAGAAAGACGCGAAGAATTATTTTGAAATATAAATTCTTCGAAGGGCACAGGGGACTTACGTAGTCTTACTTGCTTATATATTGTTTTCAATACATCCTGATTTTTCATTTTCCATAGATTCAGGGTATGCAAATATTGAGAGACTTCTGAATATTTGTTCACGGCCCAATCGCCCCCAGATCCCCAGATCCCCCAGACCAGATTTCCAATTTGATACGCCTCCAATTGGCATTTGGGTTTTTAAATAGAGAATGCCAAGTGGAATTCAGTAAGAGATCCGATTTACTACTCCCCCAGTGGCCGTAGATATCTTCCTAACAGAAGCATATTGTTGGGCCTGTGTTGTCAACCCGAGTGAATAGTCCGAAATTCCGAGCGAATCGGGATAATCATGGCACTTGATGATTTAAAGGTATACACGAGTATAGGTTCTCAGTTTCAAATCCTTAGTTTCCATAGCGACAAAGACGTACAAATCTAATAAACTCAATGCATTTACATGACAAATAATTTGAATGCAACTTTAATCAATGTATATGTAACTGCGAGCAGTTCAATTTTCTCTCAGTGCTCCCGATTAACGCTTGAGCTGAATGGCTTTCAATTGATATACATATATTTTTCAATAATGGTCTTATTTGTTTAATTGCAGCTAGAGTGTCTTGAGGGAACTGTGCAACAATGTGATCCGAGGTGAATGACGGCGAAAGCAGCAGAAGTAGCTAAAAGCAGCGACAGCACACGCACGCACGCAGCAAAGGAAGACAGACAGGCTGATACGCGGTCAGGCTGACCAGACAGACAGCGGTCAGCGAAGACAACAACCAACGGTATAATCAATTGCTGAATCAAACAAACAATATAAAACGCCGAGAGGGAGTAGACTGAGCAAGGAGGGCTGGCCACACAACCAAGGAGGGAGAGAAAGTAGGGACAACGTGTTCTGAAGCGAGAGCGAGCGAATCCAAGCGAACGCCATGCCCAGTACAGCGGGCAGCGCAGCTAGCGTCGGCGTTGGGGCGTTGATCAACAGCGCCGGCAGCAGCGCCAGCATGAGCATCGGTGCTGGCGCCGGCGCTGGTGTCGCGATTGGCGGCAGCAGCACCGCAGCCAGTGCCGGCAGTAGCGCAGTTGCCGCAGCATCGGCTGGCACCCTCATAGCACAAAGCACGGCAGGCACAAGCGCCGCCAGCGGCACCATCACCTGGGACAACAATGGCACCCTGCGCTCCTTAAATCCCGGTGACTGGTCTATCGAACAGTGCCTCATCTGGCAACAGCCGCATCATCTCTACTTTCAGCTGGGCTGGGCCTTCCTCTTTCTGGCGTTTCTGGCTCCCCATGGACCCTTCGGTTCGCTGTGGATGCGCGCCACTATGCTCATCGGCTGCATTATGATAGGCATGTACGGTTACCTGATAGAGTGCACTCCGGACGTGGTGCTCTGGTCTGGCCTTGGCGTTGGCATTAACTTCATCTATCTAATCGTGGTGCTCTGTCGGCTGCGTCCAGTGCGCTTCGATCAGGAAATTGAAGCGGTAAGTAAGCATTCGAATTGTGTTTCGTTTTCCAACACTTATCGACCAATAAATTTCAATGAAGAGTATCGGACAAAATAGGGATTCCTGAACTGCCTCACGAGTCAATTGAATTGGGGATTTCATTTACTGTAATAACTATCAGCTACAATTGTAAAGCTGGGCTAGGTTGGGATGCCTGACAAATGAGCGCCTGAAATCTTGATCTAAAATCACAAAAAGTCTTCTTTTCTGTGAAATACGGTCAAGATGACAACATCAGAATCCTGACTAGATTTGGAGAGCCTCGGATTCTTGTATGTATTGAAAATGTATGCACAAAGGGTGTATTGGCATAAAGAATGAGTTGTAGTCGTCATTGTCTTGATCACGGTAAAGAGTTGGATTGCTCCAGCCACGCACATCCAACCATTTGTGTGTATGAGCGGCCATAAAATATACAAAATATCGAGTCTTCAAATGCAAAATATATATATGACTTATTCAATGTTCCATAAGATTTTTACTTCTGTTAGGTTACGCTATTTATTAGATGTTTCCATATTGAAAATATAAATAATGAATATGTTCGATTTGTTATTTCATATAGCTGGTATGATACGTAATTATGGTTACTAGGGCACATTTGAATTGAAATGTTTCATATGTGATTGAGGCATATCATTAACCCTACCAACCTACAGCACCATAGTATGTAGTATATGTATGTAACATGCCTGGACTGGGTATGTTTATTAGTGGGGCACATCTGATTCAGACAATTTCCTGAGGTAGCCCAACGAATTTAAAGTCGAATTTTGTAATATATCTTGTATTTTTTGGTTTTATTTTATTTTATTTCTTAAATTTTTTTTTTTTTAATAATATTTTAATTTTTGTTTGAAATATGTTTTTTTCTTAGTTTCAGTTGCGTAACAAAAACGCACAGCTCACTTAAACAATTAAATAATTTCGATAGTTTATCAATAGAAAAAAATTGGTATGCGAAAAAAAAAAAACAAAAAAAAAAAAACAACAAATGAATGCAAGTTTTTGTTTAAATTCTAAAATGCTATTAATTAACAATTGTGTGTATATTATTAACTAAATACTACAAAATGCTGTATGTATGTATGTATGTATGTGCGTATCTAACATTCACTGCTTATCTGTGTGTTTGTGTGAATGGGCTGGGCTTAGTTGGGATGTTTGTGGGGGTTGCTTGGGGGCTGGTGAGTGTTATCACAGGTATTTCATTCATTTCATTTGCAAAAGTTGCTTAATTTAACTTTTGTTATAACCAGTTTATTGATGTTGCTTGATATAAATATGCAAAGTCTAGTATATTATATATGTTGTTTATAATTTAATTTGAGACAATTCGTGACAGATTGAATACAATATCAAATTTTATATGAATGTTTCTTGTATGTGTGTGTGTGTGTGTGTGTGTGTACTCGTGCGTATGCGAGTGTGTATGATGTCTTGGTGGCTTTATGCTGCTACAAATTTGTATATATATATTAAATTCTTTTGCATTACAAAGAGAGTGAAAGAGAGTAAGGGACTACGTGGGTGCGGATGCGGGTGCGGATGTGCGTGGGGAGAGGTTACAAAAAAGCAGTGCGGCCTTTCAGGCGCTGCCCGAAATTGCGTCCGCACTTCGATTCTTGTATGGGGCCTCGGTGTGGTTCGGGTCTTAGCTAATTCGTATTTTCAATGCCAGAAAATACAACTGCAGACAGGTGGCCAATAGGACAATCATATTGCCGATAGCAATGGTCATGTGTATGCGCCGGAATGCCTTGTGTATGCGCTGATAATGCGGGCACTCGACCAAGTCGCCCTGGACCAGGCTGCCCACCTCCTGGCCGCTGCCGATGGCACCTTCAATTCTATATTTCTCGTGCATCAGCCGTAGCATGGGCGGGGCCAGATAGAGGCGCACCACCACCTCAATGGCGGCTGTCAGGCCCAAGGCGCTTATTTGCACGCTTGCCGCCGTTGTCCAGCCGCTGAGGAAATATTTAACATAGATGATCAGCATGCTGATGCTCAGCATCGCGTTTAGTGCGAAATATTTGGGGAACAGAATCTGCTGGCACTGGCCAAAGGTGTGGCGCGGCAGAGAGAAATACAGCGAGAGGCCTAGTGAGAGAAGAAGAGAAATAAGGAGAGATTAGAATAGGTAATAAATAATGGATAAGTGCAATTATAATGCCTACGATTTTGATGACTTTCTGTTTGACATTGGCTTTGGCATTGACATTGACATGGACATGGGCACATTGGATGATTGATGGCAGATGAAGCGAGCAATAGTTGCAGCAGCAGATACAGCAGTAGCAGAAGCAGCAGCAGCAGCGTTGGCAGCGGCGCTTATGCTTATGATTGGGCAACTTACCAGAGACAAAGGTCATCCAGATTTGTGAGCCAAAGTGTGTGGCGAATGCGCCCAGATATGCCAGCGTGGCCAGCGTGCTCTCTCCCTTTGGGGCGGCCATGTCGTCGTTAGCATTTCGCGTCTGCGTCGTTGTTGGTGTTGTTGTATGTATCGCTGCCGTTGCCAACGGGCTGCTGTGCATTGTCGTTGAATTCGTTGTGAGATCGGGCCCAACGGTCAGTAGCACAAAGGATAATATGCAAATGGCTATAAAATGCGCCGGCTGCGTCGTACGCGTCAGAATTCTATAAATAGATGCAACGAGAGAGAGAGAGAGAGAGAGAGAGAGAGAGAGAGAGAGAGAGAGAGAGAGAGAGAAAAGATACAGTTATTAAAATGTAGTTAATTTTATGGCTGTTAGCTAGAATGTTAATGCGCTTGAGTGTATGCTAATTTTAACAGTAGTTTATATCTATGCATATACATACATACATATGTATGTATGTATATATATTCGCAATATATGTAAATGCATTTAATAATATTTAGTCGTGGCCCGCCCCTACGTATTTTCGCTGTGATTAGATTCGCTTCGAACTTTCGCACTTGTCAACATTTATGGCAACGGCACGAGCAGCAACAGCAGAGAATAGCGTGTGCTTATCTAACATCAAGTGCTTTGCACTGGCAGCGACGCGTCGCTCGCATATTGTACTCTCTGTCTTTGTGCTGCTTACGCATTTGCTGCGTTCCGTTGTGTTGGGTTACGCTGCGTTCTGCTGGCTGGGGTGCGCTACGCGGCTGTCGGACTGCATTGCGTTACATTGCGTCTGGTTTACACATTTTTGCATACGCTTTCGCATAGATCATGTGAATGTGACGTTTTTTGACGTCGCGTCGCGTCAGTCGCTGCTGTTGCTTTGTCGGCAGCGAATACAGCGTCGAAAATGGCGTACGTGCAAAAAAGCATGCAGCCAAATATTGTACATACCCATATATTTTTGTATTTTGCCATTTGCACAACAGTAATTGGAGCGACAATGGTCACTAAATTTGCTAAACTACACACACACAGAGTAGCGCGCACATGCATGTGCATACATGTGTCTGTGTTTTTAAGCACTTGCATATGTTAAACGACAGCGACGGCAGCAGAGCAACCAGATAATATAACATTTGTCGCTGCCGATGTCGACACACAGGTTCAATCGAAGCTGAGAGCGAATAAATCAGCTGTTCAATTGAACAACTGCTCTCCAAGCTGACAATTCGATGCCGTTGTTCGTTTACGATAAGTTGCCAAACGCAGAAAGTTAACAAAGCACATATGTATGTATGTACATACATAGTATATTAACAACGCACCATTAACATCGGCGTTGCCAACCACGCAAGTGAGCCACTGACATCGTCTGCGTCTGCGTCGACGACGACATCGACATCGTGACGCTGACTGACAAAACGTCTCGCACTTTGTACTCGTGGGCGGGAATTCTATTGACTAGTTAGAGATACGTCAGAGTTGGCGTCATTGGGTAGGTTATTTTTTCGGAAGCTTTTCCCTGGCGAATCATCAGCTGAAGTTAACGTTGAGTCACAGTAGCAGTGAAAAGGGGCGTTAGCAGTCGGTTAACGGCCTTCGTTATTATTTATAAATCGAGTATGATAAAAATATCGTCATTTTAGGGGCTACCCTTACATATGTATGTATACCAGGTTGACTCATTTAGCAAAGCTGCGTACCTTGCCAGGGACTTTGAGCTGTTTATTTCTTATAGCTTATCGTGCGCTATTTAAAAGCAGTTTTCATTCGCTTTGTGAAAGATTTCATCAGAAATTCAGATGGCACGTGATGTGCCAAGATATTCTTAATTTTAGTTAACTGAGCTGCTCCAAATGATATACGCATATAGTTGACTGGCCGATGGACAGATAGCTATAGCTGAACACTAGCGATAGTTTGTGCTCGTGAGAGATTTTAAAAAGCTAAATGTTCATTTCTAATCGCTCTGTCAGTGCCCTTCGTTGCTCTTGTTGTCGCTTCCATTAACTGTATGCATAACGGTCAACAAAATGAAAACGAAAACAGCGACACTAAAATTTGCACAGGCAGACGACGCCAAAGTGCAAAAAGAGAGGTGTGTTTTTTGGAATAATGGACTGAGCGTAATCTTCTTTCGCGTGATTGACATGATCGAGCGCCGTGATAATGACATTGATAAGCATACAATTTGTCGTTGAAAGCGTCTACATCATATATATAAGTATGTACGTATGTATGTATGTATTCAATTTGTCATATGATGAAATTAGCATTAGGATGAATGTCTAAAATGAGACTCACGTGTACAGACGGCTGCCTTGCAGTTGGCCGATCAGGCAATGACAGCGCTCAGCGAATTTACGCGTCATTTGTGTGCCGATGGCTAGTGCATCGTCCATCGATGGCTCCATCGAGCTGAGTTTGCGCTGTTGTTGTGCTGTTAGTGCAGTCGCTGCTGTTGTTGCTAGGGGGCTGCTGTGTACTGAGCTGTTAGCTTCTGACTCCTGTTGCTCTTGTTGCATTTTACGAAAACGTCCACAGAATTTGGGAATTTTCAAAATGTCGCTGAGGTTGCCCGTATTGTTGTTGTTGTTGGTGCTGCTGATATTGGGGATAGCTGTTACAATAGTTTCTACTGTTGCTATTACAATTTCTGCCGACGCTGTTGCTTTTGCTTCTGCTGTCTCTGTAACTATTTCTGTCGCTGTCATTTTCTCCTTCTTCAGCTGCACTATACGCGTGTGCTTGATGTCAACGTCAGTGCCGCTGTCGCTGTTGCTGTCGCTGCTGCTGCTGCCGCTGCCCAATTCTTCGACATCGCTGTTATTTTGTGACTGTTGTTGTTGCTGTCTTTGCAATTCTTTACGCTGCTGTTTTTCGCGCTTGCGCATCGTGTATTTTACGCTCCTGACGGCTTTCTGGGGCAGGCCAAAGGCCATGTACCGTTCGATCTGTTCACTTTCAATGCCCGAATTGTGGCACATGTTTGCATTTGTATGTTCTGCTTAACTGTTCTTTGCACTTATTTTTGTTGTTACTTTTTGCACTGTTTCAGTTACGTTTATAATTACTTTTTCGATTGCTCTCTTTTGAGCTCGATTTTTTTGCACTCGAAAAAAATTACAGGTATTTTATCTGCAAAGTTTTGATGAGTTTTAGGGGATTTTACTTTGGGTTTCGTTGTAATTGTTGTGGTAGTATTTCTTCTTGTTGGGTTAGTTAATTAGTAAACTTTTGTTGCTATTTTGTACATAAGATTTAGTTCGCGCGAGACTTGCAATGGGGTGGATAGGGTATGGGAGCTAGTGCTGCTAGGTACTGCTACTACTGCTGCTGCGACGTCTACGCGACGAGTTAATATGTGCGATTGAATGGCCAGTCAGCATCGGCATTAGCATTTATATAGCGCTTTCACATGTGTGTGTGAGTTCTTGGACGTTGACAGCGAGCACCGAGCTCTCTTCGGCTTTTAGGTGACTATCAACAACGACGACACCACCGACGTCGGCAACGCTCCCACGCACTCGTCGTGTACTTGATCCACATAGCTGTAATGTAATGTGCAAGTGGGCGGGGCAGGGACAGTACTCGGCAGACAGCTGTTGCTCGTGCCAGTTCGCGCTGCAAAGCCGAACTAGCCCTGGTGCAACACAGACAAAGAGAGAGCGAGGCAATGAGAGCGAGTGATTAATAAAGAGAGGCTAAATGGAAGAGCAAGTAGTGCTAAGAGCGTGAGCACCTGTTGCTCTGACGCTCTTAGATATTCACCGAAGAGTACGTAATTAAATGCTCCTTGTCGCGCTACGATCGTTGTGTCCATCCTTGAGTCTGACCCCAAGACCAGCTCGGGGAAGCGGACATGCCCAAGTCTTGGCTGTAGTTAAGCGACTTGCCAAATGGCGTCGTTCCCGATTGTGTTTTGTTCATGTGCGCCATATGTGCATAGTTTTAAACTATCGGCTTTTGGGGGCTGGGCAGGGCGGTGCGGAGGTGGGCGCCTAACATAACTCTAGGCAGACCCTGTGTTTCTGCTGTTTACATTATAGCCAGCTGCTCTTTGCCATATCACTTTTCCGTTCGAGAAAAAAAAATCAATATAATATACAAATTAAAAAACACTCAAATTCTTTTGACGCTCTTTCCTTGACGTCATTGGGGATTTGAAAGTCACCGGCCTCTTGGTAAGCAATGCTGACAATTTGAATGAGTAAGTGATCTATTTCTGCTAAACATCAAAGCACATTTCAAATATTTGCCTGATCCGGGTATTTACTTAATCAGCATTAATTTAAAGCGAGTACCACTTAATGACTAAACGGGAATAACTTCTATTCGGTGAGTGTTATTTTGAGGGAATCACAGCTCTGAAGATCCAATTGAAATCATGGCTTGAATAAATGAAGTTGAGAAATGAGGATCACTTTTAAAAGAAATAAATTATCTTTACTTTAAATAATACTAACTAAAATGAAACTATGTTCACTTACTAAAGGAACGAATGAGGATCACTTCAGAGATAATGAAATGAGCAAAGTAAATACAAATTTTCAATTACTTTATATACAATTTGTAATACAAATTATTGGTGGTCATGAATGATCATTTCGAATCATGCAAATCGAACTAGGGAACAATTTTATTCATAAGAAATCAGCGAGATTACTTTTTGGAATCTTTATAGCTTTGATTTTATATCAATGAACATGTTATAAAAAGGTGTTAATGGTTAGCTAATTAAAATGCATAACAGTTGAACTAATGATCGCTTATATAAAGCAAACACGAATTTGTTTACGAAATGATATGAATATGTTCCATATTTATCACTGATCATTTCGCAGAATCGCCATATTCAATACAATACTGGGTTTCACTTGTTTTTGGGTTTATTTATTTAAGAGAATTGTTGATAGTTGTCCCGCTACTGACCATATAACCTTTACCTTTAGCACAATAATTGGAGATTGATTTGATGTCAAAGGTCAAAAACTTAAAGCTCTTTTATCAGCCATGTAGCGAATAGCTATGTATTTGCTGATCGTGATGGGATACTCATTTTATGAGCGATCTTGACATTGGCATTTCGGTTTAGCCGATCACCGCCTTTTGTGTCCATTCATTATTTGGTTGGGTTTCGCTGACATACGGCAACCACGTGATAATCTGCGAACGTGTGCCCCATGTCAAAGAGATTGAGTCGATATAATTGATCATGGATCGCTTTCTATATATATTCATCATTCGAATACCGCAGCGAAAACAAATTTGCTCATCCTGCTGCGCGGCCCGATAGCCGCATTTGGCGGTAGGGATTGTCGATTCTAATGGAAAGGCAGGCCGTAGGCAGGCTGAGGATCGATTGAGGGGGGAGGCTCACCACGTTGATCAATGGCAGTTGACTACCCAAACTGCTGGTTATCTAATTGCCGTAAGTTCCGTTCTAGCCGATCAGTTGTCCACCGAGCTTGATCAGCGCGATCGGGCAACAACAATGACAGACAGTCGGACTACCAAAACGTCAGTGACTCGTTTAGCCTAGCGTTTATAGCTCTCGGTAGGCATTATTTTGCATACAAACTTGTTATTAGAGACTGTTATGGATTCAACGTATATATCCGACTGGATGATTCTTATACATTTTGGGTATCACATTTGTGTGTGTGTGTGTGTTTTTTTTTTTCCTTTCCGGCGCCTCGTGACAAACGGCGTTTGCATATATAAAATTTCGCCCTATCATCGTTTTTTTTTTTTTTTTTTTTTTTTTTTTTTTTTTTTTTTTTTTTTTTTTGAAACTTTCCTCGTACGCTCGTTGATTGTACACCTCCTAATGTGGAACTCTGTCTGGCGGGGCAGCCTGAGACCAAAGTCTTTGAAGTCTATTGGGCATGGCATCCAGTGGAATTTGAACAGCGCAAAAAAAAAAAATTATTATATTTACTCAAAAGTTTGTGACACTTTTCGGTCTGACCTTTAATCAACGAAACACTTTGTTATTATATTTTCGCGATCTGCCCCTCTCTATGATTTCGCCAATGGAATCGAGAGAGGGAATTTGTGAATAAATTACGCATTTACCGAGTGGCGACTGCCGAATGTCACGTAAGGCCACAAGAAATGGACCAAATATTTGTTTGAAGGTCAACGCCTCGATTGGTAGTTAACATAAATAATACAAAGTTAACCTTATGGGTGAGCTCTATCTCAGCATACCCTATTGATAATGAATCGAAATTTTACATTTTGAATTCTGATACGAAAATGTTTCTAATCTTCTATGATTAGTTAGCTGACCTTATGGTCAGTGGCACGATTCAGGGTTCACGGAACATTGATTCGCTGCATGCGAAGGCTTACTTGATTACAAAATTATAATCAGTTGCCAAATCGTTGTTCGAACAATTAATTAATAAATAAAATTCAAATTAACTATGATATGTAGATCATGTCGCCTCATTTAGCAAAATGATATTTTAATTCAGAACGGTTACCTAACAAAAATAAGAGCTCAATTCGCTCTAGTTCCAGGAAAACAATCGATTTGAATTTAACCGTTTGTATGCTAACATGCAATAACAAAATTACATTTTTCGACATACGATCATTTTGCGGGAATGCGACAATCTAAAGATCTTAAAGATCATAATAGATGTAAATCAAAACCAAGCAACCGACTGCGGAATACTCATTCACATCACATCAGCAATTTAGCAGCTAAGTTTAGTTATAATACCCAAAATTCAATATTTTAATGTTTGCGCCAAAAAATTTAAAAATTACAGGGTATATATGCCACGCCCCTGGTATATCAGAAAATGCATTTTCCATGTCTCTAGTGATCGGGTCGGGAAAATGTTAACACTTTATAATATCTCCGATTATGTGAACACGAATATGTGCTCTCTAGCTTCAATAGCGCCGAAATAAACTGCGTTCATACGGACAGACGAACGGACATTCACTTTCGTGAAAGAGTAGTATAATAAGTAAACGAAAATTATGAAGTAACAGATTGGGTATATATACTATAATCAGATATTTGTGCAACTTTGTTATGTATATTACTATGATCTCGCGATAATCATTCGATGATAAAACTGAACTGGACTAGTTCCGGGCTTGTGAATATCAAAATATATTTCCTAATATTAATTGGAGACTTGATTTCATTGAAGAGTTTACGCTCTTAGCCAACATTTAGCGATCTTGGCGTTGCTGCGTTTTCTTTTTTAGGGTCATTCGCTGAGTTGGCTTGGAGTTTGGTCACCTGTTCTGGGAAATCGTCACTCCAAAGTGCGGACGTGTCTCGTTGGCATGCGCGTCATACAACCTGTTGTTGCAGAGTTTCGTTACCCAAAAATATATGGCGCACACACATGTACGACCAACCCACCCGCCGCACGCCAACCCACCACCCACCTTCTCGGCAAACAGCCAGTCATAAGTTCTTCTCGGCCTTAGGCGTTTGCGTCAGCAACAGTAGCATCAACAGCAGCAGCATTTGCGGCAGAAAAAACACCATCAGCAATACCTTCGTCAGTCGTCAGTTGTCTCTTTTCGCCTATGGCATCTGTCCAAATTGTTTCCCGTATCTTCAGTTTGAGCAGCAGTTTTTTGGGGCTTGTTTCGTTTTGTTTCGTTTTCGATCGATTGCGAATTTCGCGCGCTTTCGCTCAATCATGTAGATTGCGGCGAAGGGGCGTGGCTAGTACAAGCCACGTGACCGGCGGACGTGCGGCGGTGCGTGAATCACATGGAAAAATTAGCCACAATTGATTAGCGCTGACGAAAAAAATGCGCGATCAGAGTATATTGGTGAGAAATAATCGAATCGCTCAAGGTTCGCTCTTTCGCTATTCTTTAGTTCCTACCTGCTTGTTTTTCTTGCAGTATTAACAAGTAAGCGAGGTCTAAGCAGCGACTGCGCTTGGGCTGCGCTGCAGTGTGGGCTAATATTTCATGAGGGCTTATTTGTTGAATAATTTATCTTGTGGTAGGACTTTCTTCACAAAACTTTCAGAACTTAATCATAAATGTTTAAATGTGTATATATTTCGACGTGCATGCATACATACATATATGTATATACAGTAAATCTGAAGTCGCCAGGTCTAAAAGCGTTCATATTATATATCTATATACGGGCATTTAACAAAATTTTCCAGTCCCCTATAATAAGTGTCGATTGCGTTGCTAATCGTTCGCTCTTAGTCGCCTCTTTTCGCTGTTTTCATGCAGGGGCAAATATGTATGTATGTATGTCATGCATACATGCTTGCACACATGCATATGTAGGTACATATCACTATGAGGAATTTTGCCGTTTTTCGGGTA